TTGGTTTTATAACTCTTATAACACTTTTCTCTCTGTAAATCTAATTAGAAGGGAATAAAACCAGAAATTCCTCCTTTTAACCAATCAACACTCATTTACTGAGCATCTACAATATTCGGATACTATACTAGATTTCTTTTTTTAGTCAATTATCACTCATTTATGGAGCACCTATCATGAATGATCACTGGTTAAGGCATCAACAGATAAAAGTCTCTCCACTAATGGTGCTTACAATCCTCAGAGGGAGTTAGATATGTAAGTAGATTCTGTAGCTAATATGTAAGGCATAACGTAAGTGCTAGAAGGGACTGAGCATAGATGCAGTGCTATGATTGTGCAGAATAGACAACAATTAATTCCAAAAGAGAGTATTGAGAAGAAAGGAGGAATCTGGTCTGGGCTTTAATGAATAATTAGGATTTTAACAGGCAAATATTGAGGGAAGAGGGGCATTCCTGATAGAATAAACAGCAAACATAGATCTTGAAGACTCTGGTATGCTAGTGAACCAATGAGTACACAGCCAGGGAGAGGGGTGTGTGTGTGTTTCTGAGAGTGAGTGAGAGAGATATTAGGAAGAAGAAATAACTGGGAAGATCTCAAAAGAATTTGAACCAGCAAAGGTGTCTGAGCAGGCAAGTGATGTGGTCAGAACTGTTTTGGTCTAGAGCTCTGATCAGAGTTAAGAGATAAAAATAGTGAAATCATAGGAATTAAGATGGTCCCAGAAAAAGCAGTACAGGACAGAAAAGGGCTGACGATCAAATCCTGAGAAATAATTACATTGGGGAGGACAGGAGGGAAGTCAGTCAAAAACACTGAGAGATAAAAGACTATGGAGAGAATGTCATAAAAAGGAAACAGAGGTTGTGATAAAAAATATCAGACGAGAGGATGAATGTATCAGAGAAGAATCTCATTTGGCAATTAGAAAATTAATGCCCTCTTGATACAACTCAAGCACTCAACATAATTGGGTGAGGTGGGGGAAGCCAAGCCACAGTAAGTTAAGGGAAAAGGTGAAGAATTAGAGGCAGCAGGTGGGGCTGCTTTTCTAAGAACTGTGATAAGAGAGAAAAGAGCAAAAGTTTGAGACCAAATCAGAATGCAGGTTAGGAAGTAACATGAACTTTCTTATCCCAGTGAAGTCAGAGTAAAGAGGGGACATACTGCCAATCTTTGGGGGGAAATGAAGGCTGAGGCAGAAAAAGCGGAAGGAGGCAATGTGGCAGGTACCTTGGAAAAGAGAATATACGGAAAACCAAAAAAATGTGTGGTACTGACCAAGGAAGTTAAGGGCACTCCAAATAGTTGGATAAAGGAATGTGCTAAGAATTAAATGGGGTGAGGAGAAGCAAAATAAGATTTAAAGAATTTCTATTTGGAAAATATTCTCAATTGGAAATGAAAAACATGAGCATTGAGGCCTAGATGGTAACTACAAAAGAAAAACAAGCAGAATTAAAATGTTAAAACAACAAAGTTGTTTTATTGAAAGGTTTTTGGAGACATAAACTGATAATTGTATGTTAAAAGATACAACGCAAATCTTTGTATATTCAAGATTTCCAAAATACAGCAACAGCCCACTTGCTTTAAATTGAGAATACAATTATTATTACATTCAAAATCTAGTATCAAAAAGTAGATGGTTCTTACTGCATTCGGTTCTTGCTTTGCAAGCTTCATATCAAAGTTTTTGAATCTTGTTATTTTTTCATATTAGCTTTCCCTCCACAGTTCAATAAACAACTTCATCCAAGTTACTGGCAAATAGGAAGAGGAGATATTTTTTCAGCAAGACACTAAAGGCTTCCTTTCAGGGCTGATGATAATTTATTACTCATTCTTCAGGTACAGCTGTTTAATAATGAATCAAATTCTAACTGGATTCTCATCTAGCCGACACTTCTCCATTTCGACCACAGGACATGATAATTCTGTCACATACACTCTGGTGAAATCTAATTGCACAATGTCTAAAGCATTTCTCTAATGAACCAGTCTAGTCTTGTCAAAAAAGTAAATGAGGCTAATTTGGCCACTCCCCAGCCACCTGTCTCTATTCAAGGTACCACTAGACACGAATTTAAATTATTCTATGAATTATGTTATAGGTCTATCCTGGCAAGGTCACACTACATTTCTCCAAGAACACAAACTTCTCACTTTTTAATTAGCTACTTCCAAACGTATGAATAAAAGCAATCCACACTCCACAACCTACCCTCCCTCTAATAAGGAGAGAAGAAAGAAAAAAAGGTTTTCTGGCTAACTTGAATAAACAGTCTTTGGTGATACAGACAAAAGAGTCAAATGTCTATTTATAAGGTACATTACATTACACAAAATTAAAATCACATCCTATATAAAATAGTATTTAGAAATTTTTTTTCTCTTTTCAACATTTCACACAACAAATTCATTGCAATTTTTCCAGTGTATTTTTGGCACCTGTATTCATGTTCATGAGAGTGACTGAATCATTTAACCAGTTTTTTCAAAGCATTATCGCCTTCCTTTTACTTATAAGTTGTCTGACTTGAGTTACAAAACTTTTCGAAAACCTGTGGTCTTTTTTTTTTCTCTTTAGTATTTTTTTTAAGGTATCATTGTTATACAATCACATGAGCAACACTAGTTACGAGATTCCCCCCATTATCAAGCCCCCACCACATATCCCATTACAGTCACTGTCCTTCAGCATAGTAAGATGCTATAGAGTCACTACTTGTCTTCTCTGTTACACTTCCTTCCCCGTGACCCCCCCGACATTGTGTGCTAATCATAATGCGCCTTAATCCCCTTACCCCTCCCTTACCACCCACCCTCCCCAGTCCCTTTTCCTTTGGTAACTGTTAGTCCATTCTTGGGTTCTGTGAGTCTGCTGCTGTTTTGTTCCTTCAGTTTTTTTCTTTGTTCTTATACTCCACAGATGAGTGATATTGTTTGGTACTTGCCTTTCTACACCTGGCTTATTTCACTGAGCTAATAACCTCTAGCTTCATCCATGTTGTTGTAAACAGTAAGATCTGTGTTCTTCTTATGGCTGAATAGTATTCCATTGTGCATATATACCACATCTTCTTTATCCATTCATCTACTGATGGACAATTAGGTTGCTTCCACTTCTTGGACATTACAAATAGTGCTGTGATAAACATAGGGGTGCATCTGTCTTTTTCAAACTGGGCTGCTGCAGTCTTAGGGTAAATTCCTAGAAGTGGAATTACTGGGTCAAATGGTATTTCTATTTTGAGCTTTTTGAGGAACCTCCATACTGCTTTTTACAATGGTTGAACTAATTTACATTCCCACTTGTGTGCTGTAAACGTAGATTCATAATCTCTACAAGATTACTTACTGGTAGGACCTCTTACTAGTATTGAGAGAAGTAGCTCTGGACTTACACTGACTCCAAACAATCCTTTGTAAGCCTTTGTATGGAGTAGAATGCAAACTGGCTTGCCCATTTCTGAGAAAGAACTGGTGTGGAGACCCTGCTTTATATCCAGGGAATCAACAAGTCAAAAATTCACAGTCAGGAACCAAATCATTTCTAAAACACACATTTCAATTAATAACATAGGTTACTGCTCATGTAAACATGGGGATGCATTAAGTTAAACAAATATTCTTTCTGAACTAGTATATTAGAACTTTGCTACACTGTTAAGAGTAGGATGGATTATTCAATTCCTAAAAATTTGTTTACTTTGAGAAACAGCAAGAGTAATAACTCTAGTAAGTTATGTGTATTGTGTATTAATTACCAGTCACTGTTTCAAGCATTTCACATATATTGATTCAATCTTCACAATGCTCTTATGAAATAGCTATTGATAATTCCACTGTATTAATGAAGAAACCCAGGCACAGAGGTAAAGTAACTTGTCTAATGCCATAAAGCTTCTAGGTAGCGGAAATTCAGTATAGTTCTAGGCTGCTCCCCCTTCTAAAAGAAGGTATGTAGCTTCTTAAATTAGTAAATTAGGCCTGCATTTTATAAGGCAGTCCCACCTATTAGGCAGTTATCAGTAGTCTAAAGAAGGTTCGAGTATATTTTAATATATTTTCTATTCTAGTCTACTACTTTGTACTATCCATCCACACTGTCTGAAGGCATGTGATTAAGTTCCCTGAGCTGATCACTATCCCCATTTCAGGCAGTATTTTTAAGGAATAAAGTTCCTACTAGAAACACATGCACAGAACAGACTAGAACCAAGTCTTCCTCATTCTCCTCCAAAGTTTTTAAGTGCTAGTGGAGCACGTCTCTCTGGGCCTAGATCTCCCCTCGATCCCCAATATATAAAACTAACTTTAACCGTTTTCTTTGGTAAAGTAACTTTTCTACGCGGTTGTCACGATGATAGTACTTCCTCAACAGTCATCTGGTTGGGAGCTGCAATGGGGTTAAGGAACAGTTTCATTAGGAAAGAAAGGTAAAATATGAACTCAAGAATGGGAAAATAGGGGGAGAAGTGTAGCGCACAGAAAAGGGAGGGAGGTAATGGGGTGGGGGGCACTGCTGTATGACCTGAGGTTCGGGCAGGCCGACTGGGAACGGAAATTGGGGTGGGGCTCCAGTCGCTGAAACCTGCTGGGCAGTGTTTTCTTGGATATTCCTTTAGCCTCTTGGACTCTCCCTTCACAAGCAGCCGACTCGGAGAGCACTACCGGCCCCGCTGGCCGAGCAGAGCGCCTCCACTCCGCCGCCGTCCAGACCGGGGCAGGCCTCTCTGCACGCACCGCCCCCCGCCAGCCCCGGCCGGGCCTTCGCGCCGGGCAGCCCGCGCGAGGGGCGGCCGGGACCCCCGACCCCGAGACCGGAGCCCGCGCTCCCGTCCTCGGCAGCGGCCTCTGCCCCCGGCTTCCTCCCGATAGACGACCCTGGGGCACTCCCACGTTTCCCCGCCGAACCGGGACCGAGCCTTTCCCGGAGAGCGAGACCCGGTGGCCACGGAGTTGAAGCCTAGCTGGACCGAGAGGCTTACCTTTAACAGATTAGACGTCGCCATGTTACTTCAACTTAGCCTCTCGCGAGAGAGCGCGAGACTTTTGTAGCGCTCTGGGTCAGGCCCCAAGCGGAGGCCGGATGCCCACCGGGGCCGACGGACCCCGCGGCCCGCTCCGGCGGTGTGGCGGACGCCGGGGCGACGTGCCGACGGCGCTGGCCTCGTCTCGGGCGCCTGGAGCTTCCTCACACTTTCCCCCTACATGGTCACCGGAGCTTCCCCACACGAGAGAGCTCATGCAGACGCTCGGGGAGACGGCGGCCGCGGACGGTGGGACGGCAGCGTGAGCCGACCTGACTGGAACAGGGAGTGCGACTCCACGAGCCTCCCCTCCTACGGATTAGCCTTTATGGTTGCACCGGCAGCGGCCACCGGCGACGAATTTAGCTCGGCTCAGGCCCAGCAGCTTGGGTTCCGCGACCGCGTCACGGGACGCAGCGAGCGGAGGCGCGCCCGGGAGCGCGCGTGGGAGCCTGAGACCCTCTGCCGACTGGAGGCTGCAAAGAGGGCGGGATCGCGCCCTCTGCTGGCGGGAGCGGAGGCTTTTCCTCAGACCCGCCGCAAATCCGGCCGACTGGGTGTTAGGGGAGACGTTGTGCGGAGTGAAATGATTATGACAGCTCGGCCTTGGCCTGGCAGCATATTTAATGAAAACTAGCACATAGAAGGCGTCCAATAAATATTTGTTTAATGCACGAATGAAGACATGCACAAAACTGTTATTCATTTCTATACAAGAGTGCCCAGCACTGAAATAATCTGTGAAAATTGTTTAGGCAATTAATATTAATCCTGGATTTTCTGAAGGCACATTATCCTAGAACACCTTAAACTATAAGACCCTATGCTTTATGCCTTCAGACCACAAATCACTGGTCAAGGGTAGAGAATATAATTTGTATGTAGAACCTACAATGTATCTGATATGCATGTTTACAAAGTTTTCTTTCACACTTTCATAATATGTTAGAAATAAATAAGAGCTATGAGTGAAATAAAGTAGAGAAGGGGGCTGAAGTTTGCAGTTTTAAATACTGATCCAAGTAGGCCTCCCCGAGAAGATGGCATTTAACAAAGACTTGAAGGAGCTGAGGAAGGCTAGTCCACGGGCGTGAGAGCGGCATCGCAGACGGGACATGGCGGGCAGGCTGCCCGTGGTGTCCGAGGAACGTGAGAAGGTTGCTGGGTTCGCAGCAGAGAGAGGGAGGAGGGTAGGAGAGCACGCAGGGCCTTGGAGATCACGGGAAAGGCCGACTTCTATTCTGAGTGAATGGGAATCACTGCAGGCTTTTGAACAGAGGAGAACAGTGACCAAACTTCGATTTTACAGTGACCACTCTGCTGTGTAGTGAACAGAAGCAAAGGGGTAATTTTGAAAGCTTTTGTAATACCTCATTAAATTGATAAAACAATCAGGCTACCTAGGTGTTCACATTTTATAAGTGATTTGTTGGAGAGTAATCTACACATGATTAAACAACGACTAAGTGACAAGAAAGATTCAGAGCCACTTTGCCTGTGATGTTCTGGCAGAATGTTAATAACGACTCTTTGAAGTTACCTTCCTTCTACAGATGAGGCTCAGAGAGATGATCTGGCCAAGGTACTCAGCTGCATCAGAAAAATGGCCTAGTCCAGAATAAACTTCACATAATTATGATTCCTTTTTCCCATGAAACTGGGTTATTGTCAACCCTAGTTCAAGTCTACTGCTTAAAGTGTAAGTTGATTAAATTATAAATCAACTTTATATACCCTAAAAATGATGAAACAACTGAATGAATGAATTAATTAATGACCTGCTTAAAGAATCTAATTAAGTATTTACAACTTGTTTGAGTACCTAATATGTACTAGGCACTAAAAATACAAGATTAAATGAAACAGAGAAGACCCATGCTCTCTTGGAGCTTATAGTCTAGAAAGGGAGCCAATATTAAGCCAGTTCCACAAATCAAACATACATTGCTTCATTGGAGTTGTGATAAATACTGCAAAAGAACAACACAGTGTGCACTTCAGGAGCATCTGACAGGGAAGGAAACTAATATCCTAACTGTCATCATTCCTGTGTTCGCACTCTGAACCTTATGACTACTTCTGAAAACTTCACTTTCAGACATCGCACTAACAGGACGTTTCATACCACTGCTGCAACTCTGATCCCAGTAAGTTCTCCATTCCATTGACCCCACCACTTCCTTGTTATCTGTCATCCCTGTTTTTATTTTCCTTGTCATCCAATTTAGATTCTATGGCTCGTTATAAAAATGTTTACATATTTTAAATGCTTAAATATTTCATTTATTTTAAAATAGAAAACACAAATAACTCATACAAAATTCAGAGGGTGCTAAAAGAGTACAGTTAAAAGCAAGTCTCTTTCCCCTTTCTGGAGTAATGTAATGTTCCATGTCATAGGGGTTTGGGTTATTGAGGTGTATGCATTTGTCAAAACTCAGCCAGTGTACACTTATGGTCTTTATATCTCATTGAAAATTAAAAATAGCAAACGAAATTTGAAATGTAATTAATGATATTGATGCTGAAGAATTTAGGGGTACATGAACTTATGTTTACAATTTACTTTGAAATGTATCAAAAAATAATATGGATTGATGATTGCATAGAAAGGTTGAATAGTATAGTATAGTAAAATGTTAATGATAGAATCTAGATGATGAGTAAACTAGTATTCTCTGTGTAAATCTTATACCTCAGCTATATATTTGAAATCTTTCATAATTAAAAGTTGGGGGAAATTTTTAAAAAATAGGCCTCCCTTCCTCCATAGATCCCAGGCACCCATTCTGCCTTGCTTAAAGACAACAATTGTTATACATTTCTTGTGAATCCCTAGGATACTCTGTGCTTATGTAAACATTCATATATGTATTCTTTTTTCTCTCCCCACATATGATGGCATACTATTTATACTCTTTAGCATTTTTTTTTTCACTCAACTGTATGATATAAATTACTGGAAGATATGTTTGTGCTTGTTTTTTTCACATATTCTATAGAAATTCGAACAATCACTGGTGGACTCTAATGCATCTGTTGCCTCCAGGATGTTTAGGATTAATGCTTCTAAAATAGGCTCTCAAAATCCATTTAAAATATAATACTATAAAGTCAAAGCTTTTGATTTGTAAGAAGCAAAAAACAAAAAGTTTTGCACATACAAAGATAGAAGGTAAAGTTTAACCAATAAACTATATACTACTTATAGAATTGGTGAAAAACTAGATGAGGCACCAAGGGTTTACAAGCTTTTAGAGTGGGAGAGAGAGGACAGAAACAGATCCAAGAGATGGAGAATGGCTGTTGGGGCCTCCCAGACCCCACATGGAGAAATAGAGTCTGCCTCAAAGACTGCACCACAGCGTGCACCAAGAAGACCCATGGGAACCAACCCTAAACTTAACCCTTACTGGAATCTGTCCATTTCCTTATATCAATTTCTGTACTTATTCCTAAACTCGATCCTTCTTTTCTGTACCAGGGATGCCACTCATTGCCAGTACTGAGGAGTGAGTTAGTTGTCTTTCTTGGAAGAGGGTATCTCAGAGGTAGCTGCCGTCTCCATGTTGCCTATAAGACAGTTGCCTGTTCCTTAAGTCTGTGCTCAACCCACTAGACTACTCCATTTTGGATAACTCCCTCTTCCACGGCCCAAAACACTTCTAAGCTCCACTCCTACCTCCATTTCGAAAAGTAGGGCCCCAAACAAGATGGCTGTGGGAGGGGGAGATAAGGAAGTGAAAGTCCCACTGGCAATTGTGTGAAACCAAAGAGAACCATCCTAAGATTTCCACACATGGGACCAGGTCAGGAGTGAAATTCCCACAGTCCAATTTTTACATATTACATAATCACTTTCTTTCAAAGCTCTTCAGCAACCTAGCCACTTTTCCCCCCTCCCTTAGGCACAAATAATAAAATTACAACCTTGAGCAAACTTTTCTGTCTTTTCCATACCTACACCCAAGGATCTGAACCTTGCTGGATAAAAGCCCCAAATCAACTTGAGTGGTTTCTCTTTCAACTCATAAACCTCAAATGAGTACTTAACACTGCCCGACAGTGCTGCCAGGTTTTTCTCAAGAGAGCTTGCTTCTTCCACTGCATTCCCTAGGACATCTCCTTCATTTCATAACCTCTTAAAACCCTCCCCTCTCCTTTGTGGGTTACCTCCAGCCATACTTCATTTCAAAAATGAGTAGCATCTTTCTTTTCTTCTTCCACCAAATCTTCAAACTTTTGTTCATCCATCTTTTCATTCCTTTTTCTGACTGCTTATTGACCAGTCCCTTCCTCCAGCCCAGTACCAGTACTGCTACTTGTATTCTGGATCCAATCTCAAGAACTTCCTTCTTCTAGCCATTCTCCACCTTTCTTGTATCATAAATCCTCCCCACCACATAATTCCCATCAGCATAAAAAACATGTTCAGAAGCATCTTTCATCTTATAAGATAATAAGCCCTCCTTGACTCTTTGTCAATTCTAATGGCCATTGTCCTCACCTTACTTCAGCCACTGTCAGTGCAGTTCTCCAGTCCCCTTTTCCTTAAGCACTCAGCTCTCTCGGCCTCCAGGACACCAAATTCTCCTGTTAGTTCTCTACCTCGTGGCTGTGTCTCTCCATTGCCAGCCCCTCCTCTGCTTGATCTTTATGGTTGTAGTTCTTCTGGTCTCCATCTTGGACCCTCTTCTCCTTAGACACAGTTTCTTCAGTGGTCTCATCAAGTCCCCTGGTAACTGTGGTGTTTAATCTATGTAATGCTGAGAACTTTCAAATATATATTTCTAACTTTGAACTTATCTCTTGGATTTCTGATTCATATAACCAACCACCTGCTTGCCATCTGTACTTGGGGGGGGGGTCTCATAAATATCTGAAGCATAACATATTGGCACTGTTAAACTTAACCTGAATTCAACTTGAACACTGTGCTCCCAGAAAATAGTGATGGTTAATACCCCTCAATCTTCCATTTTCTGGAAATAGCTTACTACAAAGAATCACCCTCTGTATATGATGTGAATTTTCCATTCTTTCTCATGATTCCCATAAGAGTCACATTTATCTGTGACAAGGCCAGACACAGACCATCTAAATTCCCATTCTTTGTCTCATAAATGATAAGCTGAACTGTTTGTTCCCTCCTGAAACCAGCTAGACATAGAGATAAACACTTCTTGTTCAGCTGACTGGCCAAGACTCCCTCTGATGAAAAAAAACAATCCCAACTGTAAAGTCACCCCATCTATTACTTGTCTACTCATCCAGGCAAAACCACCACTCTGATCTTCAGATCTGTGGTGCTCTCACGATTTCAATAGCCTGAATAAAGTCAGATTTCCTTATCTGATGTTTTTCCTTTGACAATATGCAAAACAAAACTTCTGATTCTCTTCTCTCTTCTTTAACTACCATTTCCATACCTTTATCTGGTCCAAATCTGTTTTTCTTCACCTGTTCAAGGTTTTGTCATCTCAATTTAAAGCATCACCCTCCACCGAGTTGCTCAGGATAATAATCAGGGTGTCGTTCTTCCTTCCTCCTTCCCCCAACCAAGCATGAGCAAGTCCTCTTTATT